AGCCATTAAAGCTACCAGTTCAACCCATTCAGGTCACACTGTGTCTTTTTGGAAGGCATACATTTAGAACTTGTTTGGCTTGCTTGTTCTGTCTTGAAAAGTGATGTGTGACTGTGTTCCATTCAGTATACAAAATACATAGTATAGATATTTTTAAAAATTTTCAACAGCCTTAAGATAAGTTCTAAAAATTGCACATAAAAAAGTACTATTAGATATAGCCTCTGGAATTGCTCACTCTAAAAGCAAGCAATTAAAAATGACTTCTGAATATCAATCTCATGATAAATATGGAGTTAATATGGATTCCACAATCTCATACCGAGACAATGTTAACATTATTTCTCATTTTTCTGGGGCATCACTCCCTGGACATCATCAGTCCTTGGAGCCACAAACAAATCAATTGCAAAGGAACCACATGCCATCAAATGTGGCCATTTGCTATCCCTGATTTTACCCCAATGACTACATTTCTCACATCTATTTGTGTGTGTAAAATATTGTGTGAGTACACAGTTCTTAATTAGGCTTTTAGAATTTTATATATTTATTGCCAAGACAGAACTTTGACTTTTCTTCTTTAAATATAACACCTTGTTGGGTGGCCTTGAAGTCTAAATTTTCCTGCCTCAGCATCTCAAATGCTGGCATTATAGGTATATAATATCATGCATAGCTAATATATACCATTTTGAACCCACAAAAACCTTTGTTTAAAATGTTGGTTCACAGCAGTCAGAAACACACACAAAGCCCTGTTATTGATGGTCTCTACAGAATAGTTCCACAGAAGTGCTGTGTGAGGGTTCTAGCTAAATCCTTTATTTATTATTAATCCTTTCCTGAATGTTAGTCTGCATTGGTTTGTCAGCTAGAAACTCTGTAAGAGTGAAGACCATGTTTTACCTAGCTCTATTCTTTCATACTAATGCAAAGCTTGTGCATGCTAGCATATGCCTGTAATCTCAGTGCTTGGGAAGCTAAAGCAAAGATCTCAAGGTCCAGACTGGCCTGGGAAATATGGGGAGACTTCACAAAATAAAAGCAGAAGCTAAGCAGGTAGCTGAATGCCTATTATTCCATCGGTTGTCAGGGAAAGGTGGGAGGACCCTTTCCAAGATCAGTCTGACCCAAAATGAAAATTCCAGGCTAGCCTGGGCAACACAGAGAGGCTACATCTAAGAAAGCCAAACCAACCAGCTAAACAAACCAACAAAACAATCCATAAAACCAAGAAGTAAGCACAGTAGTAACTTAACTATGTCACCTAGGTACCAGTTTGTGAAATAACTGTTAGTTGTCTTTTTTATCAATAGCTGACTACATTAAACCCTGAGTGAACTTCCAAGAAACACTCTTTTGGAGTTCTCCAATACAGTGGGAAGTTTTTCTCCTGTAGTAAACTCCCAACTCCAATTGTGTGCTCTTAGAAATGTTCAATCCCTATAAACCTATACAGATTGGGTTTTCACAATGCACTGGAATAGACATCCTTGGAAAAGTCACCTGCTTCACTTTTACTGTTTAATAGGAAGAGAACAGTGCTACTTTTCACAAAGCTTACTTGACTACGAAGATGCAGCTTTTGGAAACTGGTATACTGTATTGTCATTTTCCTCTGAATATTCTTTCTACCTTAAAGATCTCAACAACCCTGAAGTAATAAGTAGGTACTCTAGGTTTGGATTAAATCCGTGAAGATAACTGGCTGATACACACTCAAGAATAAATGAGGATATTTTAGTTGATGTACTTAGTTCCTAACATTCATGAGGTTAGCAATCAGAACCAACTGCTCCCCTACAGAAAACACCTTCAGTGAGCATCCAATTTCCTATATGCCCTTTCCCACTATTGGAAAGAGCTGAGATGTCTCTGAAAGACAGTTTTCATTTTCTGCTATGAAAGCTGCTGCCCAGCTATAGAGGTGAAACCCAAGTAATCAATGACTCTTAGAATTCCACTCTTTCACAGCATACTGCCATACTTTAATGTTTCAGTCTGTATTTATGTAGAAGTTACCATCAACCCTACAGAACATGTTCAAATGGAAAAGCAAATAGGCTTAAAAGCTAATCTGCCAAGACCTAAATTCTGACCTTCTAGAAGCATTACTGAAGTGGGAGAAAATCCTATAATTAGCAATGAGGAAAAGCATAACCATGCAAACTTAGCATGAATTTCATCAGGCAAACAGGAAATATCTGTAACACAATATGTTCACATTTAAAAGGGTAGTTAACAATGTTTCAGCTACACTTCAAATGTGGCATTATCATGGTGGTTAAGGTACATTTCCAATTACATTTGATATAGAAAGACAACATCTCACTAAAAAACAATATCTTTTGTGGGAATACTAAATTTAAACCTTCCAATTTAAAACCCTAAACAGTTTCCACACAGGAAAATGGTGTAAGCATACTTCTGAAGGGTTTTAAAAGCAATCAACACAGGCAATGTGAACTTATCATGGCTCTAAAGAAAAACAGAGCAGTACTGTATAGAAGACCCTCACAGTTATTGCTCTGCATATTCCCTGTGGGCTGTGCCAACCCACTCTCTCCCCTGTAATGAGTCTTTGTTTTTACTAAGTCCCAAAGGGCTGGGGCGAGCTCTGAAAAGGGAAGGGGGAAGGGCAGATGGAATGCAGCTGCAGGCTCTAAAACAATGCTGAGTCCATAATTTTGTTCCCAGGAGAATAATAAAAAGGGCAGGGTGTTGATGAGATAGACAGAGAGCAAGTAAGGTAGAGCCAAGCATCCCACCCTTTCAGTATACAGTGTGTCCAAGCCTCCTTACCACACAAAGCCAATTTCAATTTATTTGCCCTGAAAGCTTACCTGCCATTTTATAACCAAATTACCTTTGGTGGCAAACTATATTTGAGCAAGGGATATAGTGGTATAAGCAATGGTAAACAGTGGGGAGAGGGCTGGACACGTGGGCTCAAGGATAGCTGTGTAGAGAGTTAAGGTATTTGGAAAACAAAGTCCAATGTCTCAACTGTAAGCTGCTTGCTTTGTGGTACCCAGGACCCAGAGTAATGAGTAGACTGCAGAATCCATGCTTCCTCAAGGACTGCATGTCAGAACTAGAATCAGAGTTTAGTCGCTTAAGTATTTATTCCTTGTCATTTTTAGGCTGACTGTAACGTTGTGCCTCCTAAGAAAATGTTCTTTATTTGGATTTTCTTAGCCTGAGAACTCAACCAATTTAAAGAGAAAATTAGGAGAAGCAGCAGTTCCAAAAGAGCAGTGGCCCTACCAACTCCGAGCACAGCTCAGACCTTACTTTTTCCTGCCTGTGTTGCTCTCCCCTTTGCAGAGAAGGAAGAGCTCTCCAAGGCTCTAGGACTCAGGCCTGCCAATGCAGCCTTCCTTCAAATACTACTGATGCATTAAAATCTGCAAGAAACTCTAGAAGCCATAAAACAAACAACTGAACTAATCCCTAAAGTATAGAATCAGCACACAGTAAGTGATCAGCACCTAGGAGGTTTTACACTAAAGTTCAGAAGAATGCTCGTTTCATTTAGGATCCCATCCATGCACACTTAGTTACTAAGGGGAAGAAAGGACTTCATTGTAAAGCTGTCATGTAGAAGCAGAGCTGACATCCACACAAACATCTCCTTCAAGTTAGCATTATACAAAAGATTCAGAGATACTGGACTCTTTAGTCCACTGAATGGTATAATTAATCTGGTTCCAAAGATTTTCAAGTTTTAAGGTTTGGAAAGACTGCATTTATTCACATAGGCACATTTTCATATTTCTGACGTTACAAAAAGCCACGTTTGTAGACTTACAGTGATCAAGCTTATGACCCTCCTCCTTGAGCTTGTCTTTTCTCTAGAAGCCCTAACATCTACTTATAACATCTAAATGGCCATGTGCTAGCATAGAGACACTTATTAGTTCAAGCCAGGAAGCAAAATAACATCTATTTAGTTTGTTAATTTTAAATATCAATAGCAGCAAATAAAAGTAATAGCAGGGCTAAAGAGATGGCTCAGCTGGATAGATGGGGAAGGGCCTAGGCCTGGCCCAGGATGATGTGGTAGACTTTGGGGAGCCCCTTTTGAGGCCTTACCCTGCCTGGGGAGTGGAGGTGGGATGGGTAGGGGCAAGTGGGATGTTGGTGGGGAGGGAAGGGAGAGGGAGAAGGGATTGACATGTGAAGCAAGCTTGTTCCTAATTTGAACTAATAAAATAAAATTAAAAAAAAAAGAGAGATGGCTCAGCAGTTAAGAGCACTTGCTGTTTTTGCAGAGGACCTAGGTTCTATTCCAAGCACCCATGTGGTGGCGGCTTACAACCATCCATAATTCTAGTCATGCTCTTCTTGCCTCCAAGTGTACCAAGCATGCATGTGATGCACATATACACACACACAAGTAAAACATTCATACATGTAAAATAAAAGTAATAAACCTAAAAAAATTTAAAATTAACACCAATGTTATACCAATAAGGTTAATTATCTATTAAAAACACAACATTCACAGGTTCACTTAATAAAGAGTTATATATTATGCTTATTGGTTTTGATACATACACCCAGAGTGTAGAACAAAACAGACATACAAAACTGCCTATCTTAGCAAAGCTCATTCTCTACTTACACATTTAATTTCCTACTTGTATAAAATTAAGAGATTAAGCACATAGGTACATTTTAGAAATATGAACAGCTGTAGTCCTAACTTGCATGGAATTCTTTGTTTAGCTGTGGTAAACACAATATATTTCCATAAAACTGTGATGTTCAATCTTCAATGAAATGGTTCAAGTGCAAGGCACTCCATAACCGGCCCTGAATTTTTTTTTTTTTACATAAAGACAATTCAAGCACCTTAAACATGACAGAAAATCTGATCTAGTCATGAAGTTCAAAAAAATGTGACTGATTATATTGATAGTAAAATGAAAGCAAAATTTTAAAGCTTTAGGGTATAGGAGACAAGTAGTTTTTCCTAAACTGATAATACTCACCCCTTGGAGTCCTTGGAACTGAATTGAAGGTCGAAAAGGAATTAAATTCTATAAAAAAGGAAACATGTAAACTTTAGTTATTATGGCACAGAACTAAATAGTTAAACCTCAAATTTGCGTTTTCTTTGTCTCACAATATGAAAGAAAACCTTTTTTATTACATGTGTCTTCAGCATGTAATCACAGAAAGAAGTGTTGATTAGCTGCTCACATTACTATGGGTAATACAACCAAAATGTAGATTTTGGCAGTATAGCAATCATGATTACAAATTGATTGACATGATTTGCAAGAAAAAAAATACACTAACTCAATCTTTCATAAAAAATTCTTAGTTTCCTATTTTTAATAGGCGTGGGAAAAGGGAAAGGATAATTGGAGGAACTTTGAAAAAATATCAACAGAATGGTGCAAATATAAAATTTTAAATACCCAGGAATCAACTATAGTTCTCTATCCCCCTCTCCATTTTGCCAGAGACTAGTTTTTACTTAAGAGTCAAAAGGCTGCCAGTTCACTCACTAGGAGGGGATAATTTCTTGATAAGTGCTTTGGTTTTTGCTTTTTTGTTTTGTTTTTTGACTAGTATTTCATGAAACACAGTTTGTCAAATACATTTCATTCCCTTATATTCAAACCCAATGAACAAAAATGAAAATGGTGGTATCTGTCTCATTTGTGTCTGAAATAGAGAAGCCTCTATGTGCCCCCTTCAGCCCAGCATGTACTACTTCTGTTACTTTCCTAACACCTTTGCAGATTTGAGCTTATCAGGCTTCTAACAAAGTAAAGAGGGTAGAAAGAGTGTTTTTTTTAGTTTTTTTTGTAATGATAGGGATATCAGAATATACAATAAAGTGGCATTATTTATAGAACTGGATAATGTCCTAAGGAAACATTATACCAGACACTGGTATTTCAGTCTACCCCCATATTTAACTCAGACCTCAGGAAAGAATCAAAATGCTTCCAGGTGACAAATTCACTTCTTGGTGTAGAAATAGGCTCTTTAAAAAAAGGATTAAAAGCAATTATTATTTGGAAAAAAAAGTCAATGGTGACTCATTCCAATTCATTCCAGGCTCTCATGAAACATTCATGGTTGAATCTCACCCTAAACTGTATCTTCCATGGCTAACCTTACTCTTCCTGAAGTAGATAAACCATGAGCACAGAGCCTGTGGAGTCCCTCTTCTTGTGGAATTATGGTGGCCCTCACAGTATGTTCCCGGATTCTCGGCATTTCTGTCAGTCCTGCCTCCTGTACTCCCCTAATTACAGCACTGAATCAGAGCTGTCCTGAACTCCAACTCAAATGCTGCAGCTGAAATTCTCCATCAAGTTCATCAACTGTTCTGTGGCACTTAAATATAAACTATTTTCAAATTGCTGACTTCTCCATTGCATATTCCCCCTTCCTTGTGCTAAAAGATACCAGCCCTTATTTCAAAAGCCAGAACCTGCCCTTTCCTCATTCTAGATCAGCCCCACCCTGCAGGCCTGCTCTTCTTGTATATGATGACAACTGGATCTCTTCTCCATTCCCCAGGTGTCTTCCTGAAGATGGCTGCTTATTACTGCTTACAGGAACCCATGGCAGCAAGTGTTTATTGACTGACAAGCACTGACCAACCTGCAACCCTCCTACTTTTCTGTCAATGGCTTCTTGACTCTTAAGGCTCACAACCCCAGAATTAACTTACAATCTCTTCTTGCTCTCCAACATCATATTCTGATAGTCAATTACTTGCAATTAGAATCACAAAATTCCAGGTCCTCTCCTCCATCCCTGGTCCTTGTGTTCCATTAATAACTAAACTGGTAACAGGATATAGGACTTAGCTTATTAGTTCACCCTACTTTTCTCATACTGCCTTGTCCTCCACACACATCTGCTGTGAGATATGATACCATGGGGGCCTAACCCTCTATGCCAGCATTCACATTTTAGGAGGGAAAAACCTGAGAATGATCAAGCACTAGGTTACATTTACCAGGAAACAAAGTAAGAATTCCAAGGAAGTAGAACATATGACTTAGAACAGATACTAGAAAAGCCAAAGGGACTATGGGAAAGGTAGATCTTGAGTAGCTGATTAGAAAAAAAACATGCTCAAGGGAGTTTCTTCAGGAAAAAAGAAATGGTCACTCTGTGGGAAGTGGGTAGGCCTGTAGCACAGAAAACTCTTACATAACTGAAACAAAACAGAGGGTAGAAACTAGAGTTCTGAGTCCTGCCTGAGCTCCCTACCCTTGATCTATCTTTGTTTTTAGTTTCTGTCCGCCACAGAAGAGGCAAGACAACTTAAATTTCAGGGTCACCGCTCAAAAAATGTATCGTCTTATCCTAACCCTCCTTACTCTCACTGTCTTCAAGGTGCTAACAATTAGAGATTCACACTTTTCTGAGGAAAACAGTAATCTGAAAAAAAGGAAGGAAGAAGTTAAGCTGTTGAAAGAATTTTTTTTTTTAGGAAGGCAGCTTTGAAAACAAAGAAAAATGGATTAGGGTAGGGGAAAGCAGGGAAAATAGCTTTGAAAACAGCTCCAGGATTGCTTTAGAATGCTCTCAAAGCAGTGGTAAAGGATTCAATTAGTATGACTTGCATTTGAAACCAACAGGAGATGGTGAACCCACAGACATTCCCACGGTGGAATAAGGTGTGTTGGTAGTTTGAGTATCAGTCACCAGAGAAAAGTGATATGAAGGTGACCCCAGGACCAGCAGATATCCATTCCAGTCAGTCTGGCCCAGACTCCCTCAAATTAGGCTTTTATTCTCCTTTGGAGGTTCATGGTCCATTTCAAGCATTTATCACCTGGCAACCAAATAAAGGCCTTCCTCTCTAAGTGTGAGATGGCTAGCCATCCCTGTCAGACACCACTCTCAGTATATATCCCATATATCCCATAGCCTGAAGCAATTCTTCCCCACTGTCTGCCAAAGCAAAGTGAATTTCACAGACATACACATACACATAACATGACTACTCCAAACTAGACTTGCTATCAGGACAGAAGTTCTAAGAATATATGATGCTTGGCTGAGTGGTGGTGGCACATGCCTTTAATCTCAGCAGAGGCAGGTGGATCTCTGAGAATTTGTGGCCATCCTGATCTATAAAGGAGTTCCAGGACAACTAGAGATACACACAGAGAGACCCTGTCTCAAAAAACAAAAACAAAACAACAACTACAACAAAAAGCCATAGGCACTATTTCAAACATGTTAGTTTTTTTGTCCAAGTGGCCTTTTTTGTTTGCTTGGTTTTTTTTCTTTCTTCTTTTTTTCTTTCTTTCTTTCTTTCTTTCTTTCTTTCTTCTTTTTTTTTCTTTTTTGCCTAGTTACTGTTAAAAGAGTGATGTTCAGGGCTAGGGAGATGGTTCAGTGGGTAAAGTGTTTATGGTACACACACAAGGACCTGAATTCAGACACCCTCCACCCACAAAAAAGCCAAGCATGGCCATGCACGCCTGTAACCCCAGCACTGGGCATGGAGATAGCCGAAACCATGGCCTGACTGGCTGGCCTGATTAACTGCAACCTGCAGTAGATAGAGATGATTGATATATAGATAGATAGATAGATAGATAGATAGATAGATAGATAGATAGAGTAGAAAAGTGACTAAGGAAGACATCTGACGTCAAACTCTGGTCTTCTTACATGCCAGCATGAGAGAGTTATGTGGGTGTGTGCACACACACACATGAAAAGGAGTTATACTCAAATCATTTAAAATAAAATATAAAGCTAGGTGGTGGTGGTTGGGGTGCAGCCACAGCCTTTAATCCCAGCCCTTGGGAGGTAGAGGCAGGAACATCTCTTGAGGTCAGCCTGGTCTACAGAGTGAGTTCCTGGACAGCCAGGGCTATTCTTGAAAAAAGTAATAAATAAATAAATAAATAAATAAAAATAAGTAAAATATAAACCATAAGTCAATTTTAAAAGATGGATGCAGCATGCTAATTTACAATAATGCTTAATTCACTATAAATACATTCCTGTTAGATTTCAAACCTGGACAAATGGCTTAGGTGTCTATTTAACACAACAAGACATACTCTGCCTGTCAGGTTCTCCCATCATCTTTCAGACCCCACAGGGCCCTTCTGTCTGGCACATCTCTGGGCCCTACCTGAACTGCTGGGCTGCTCTTCCCTATATAATCCAATCACTTTGGCTGCCCTCTCTTTGTACCTTTGGGCCTCCAGGTTGCTGCACCTGGTTCCCCTCTCTCTTCCTATCCTCCTCTCCCTACATGACTCAGGGTCATGTCCACTCTGGACTCTGCCAGATATGTATGTCTACCTCTGGCTATGATCTCCCACGCATCTATAAACTTACTCCTCCACCATACCCAGGAGCACTAATGTTTGCTTCCTTTTCCTTCTTATTTCTTTTTTTTATTCAATTCCCATTTAGGAATGGGGTTTGATGGAGCTTCAATCTTTGTTATTTAGCTTTAATTAAATATTTACTGCTGGTGCTCTTGAAAAATCAAGTAACTCTAGGACAGTGGTTCTCAACCTTCCTAATGCTTCCACCCTTTAATATAGTTTCCTTATGTTGTTATGACCCCCATTTCATAACTGTAATTTTGCTGTTATGAATGGTAATATAAATATTTTTGGAGACAGAGGTGTGCAATGGGGTTGTAGCTCATAGGTTGAGAATCACTGCTCTAGGCTTTAATTGAGTATCATTTGGGGGAGGGGTGTAAAACCCTGCAATAGGAAAAGTTTCTGGATGTTCAATGATAAAAATTATTTTCAGTTATGAAAATCAACTTCATATTGAATTAGAACACATGACCAAATGGCAGCCTTGCCTCTGAATACACAATAAATATATTTACATGCATGGTGCATGCTGTCAACACAGTGTCAATGGACAACACTTGAAACATCTCAGCTTATATTCAAAACTGCTGTATGCTAGGAACTTTAGTGCTTTTTGTGTATACAGTACAGCAAAAAATTTCTGCTCTTACTGAAATGTAAACATTTAGCTACAGAAGACAAAGACTCTTGACTTAGGATTAGGA